AAGTTGGCGGTTTATTCCGCTGTGGGGACCCCGGATTAATAAAGGGACTAAGCCGACAAGAAAATGAATGAATGAATGAATGAATGAATGAATGAATGAATGAATGAATAGTAATAATAATAATAATAATAATAATAATAATAATAATAATAATAATAATAATAATAATAATAATAAATAAAAATAAATGCTCAATTCAGTTCATAATTCCATACCTCATTCATTCATTCATTTTCTTTTCGGCTTAGTCCCTCTAATTATCAAGGGTCACCACAGTGGTATGAACCACCAACTTATCCAGCACAAGTTTTACGCAGCAAATGCCCTTCCAGCTGCAACTCATCTCTGGGAAACACAGATACACTCTTGCATTTACACTCATACACTACGGCCAATTTAGCTTATTCAATTCACCTATACCGCATGTCTTTGGACTGTGGGAAAACTGGAGCAACCGTCAATTACAACATTTATTAAAAAATATATATTTAGTAATCTTGAAATAGTAAAAAATAAAAATAAATATATAGGTTTTGTGAAGCTGCAGCTTTAATCGGAAAATGTATAATTCTAAAACCTAGACCTATCTGTATTGCAAGTTTAATAACATTTTCTACTATCATATATATTTAAATAATAAATAAATAAAATAAATTGTGATAATTGCAATTATGTATCTTTAGTAACTTGTTTTTTTTTATTACTTAGGCTTTATTTTCTAAATTTAAAACTAAATTCTAAAATTCAAATTGTGCCGTGGATTAAAAACATATGCATTTGTAAATAAGTGACTATATGTGATTTTGTTTATTTACATTGATTATTTATCCATTTATTTAAAAAAAGGTTCAGTGAATTATTCGTTAATATGTATTATTCATACTATTAATAACTAATCGTTGTACTAATATTGACCTTCATTTTGTAAATTTAATACATAAAAAAAGAAACGTTTTGGATTATGGATTAAAGAAATTACATTTTAAAACATATTTTAATTGTAATTGTGTTATTAGATGTGATTTTCCACATTTCCAGAAAATTATTCGTTAATCTTTTAATGACTTTTATTTTGTAAAACGGGTCTCTTTCGCATCCCGGTTTCCACTTTTGCAGTGTTCCAAACATCGACACACTGTATTGATAAGTACTAATGATGTCCACTATGTAGGGTAGATCTAAACTCAAAAGTGAGTCCTTGTAATGAACGCTCCCCTTCTCAATCTCAGTCGAAGAGAGCAGGGTGTAGGGATGATCACTACTGAACACAACACGACCCTCATCACGTGAATAGTGACGTTGCTGAGCTATAAAACCGGGGGCTGCCTGTTCTTCATCCTCTTTCGCTCTTCAACTCGTGGTGGCTTGGGTTTGTCCTGACCCAAAGGAGAATTAATCGCTATTAAAGCATGTTTACACTAAATCTAAAACAAAAATCTGATTGCTATTCGTCTAGACCGCCATGATAACCGTAAGTTTGACTATTAAGCGTGTTTTTAGTCGGAGCTAACTTGAATAATGGCGGTCTGTGTGCGAGGTGTAACGTCTTTTCTTTCTGCAGGCTCGAGTTCATCATGTGAGGCCACCATGAGTGCCTTCATGCACACTGTTGAGCTGTTTTCACCGGAATGGTAGGTATTACGATTGTTTTTGCCAATATTTAAAGATATTTACAGTATTTTAATTGGGTTTGTCTTGTTTTTTTGTCCAAATATCTAAAAGTTACTAAAACAAAAAGCGATTTCTACTTGTGAAAAAAAGGTTTTGTTTCCAGAATTAAGCTGAAACTGTATTTTTTCCCGCCCAAAAAGTAAATCGAAGTTATTTTTTTTTATATTCACACCGTTGTTCATTTTAACTGTATCCATGTTTGTCACGCTACTTTGACTATTCGGTGTAAAATTCAATGTAAGAGTGATTTGTAAAGCAACTATCTTATTTAATTGACTGACCGATGTACTTTCATAGTCATTAATATCTGCTAATGTGATTTTTCCCAATTTAGAATTAACAAATAGTACTTTTCTGAACTTATACTTAAGGATTAAAGCCCGAATGTGCCAATGTTAAGACAACTTACCTCAGTTTTTTTTCCCCGCGTTAAAACAAGGTAATTGATCTGCACGTGGCGCAAGTGAAAGTTTTCTTAAAAAAACAATGTTTACTTAAAACACTAGCTTAGTGTAGCTTTTACTTAAAACTAACTTATTTAGCTTTTAAAAAGTTTTCAGAAACTCCAAATTAACTTTCTTCAGTCTGGAACAGTGGTTCTCAAAATGGGTGTCGCTTGATTTCCAAAAGTCTTATGTTTTATTAAACTATTATAATTATTTCATCCATAACCGCGAGAATATAAAAAGGTTTTTAACTTTTTTATATATTTTCAACGTAGACTAACCATGTTCCGTACACTTTTCGCTATTCAGCGCACTCAAACGACCACTTCTCCGTCATTGAAAGCCAGATAAGCATGCTTGTGTGTTCATTCTCTGGGGGAATACCTATTGCACAATCCAAATCTTGATTGATGTCTTTTGGACCAGTAGTTTTTGAGAAAAGATGGGATAAGTACCGCCTTCGCATGTGTACGGAAGATGATAGGTATTAACGGTGTTCCGTACACGACTAAAATAGTGTTCCGTACAGGGCGCATAACTTTAATTTACTGGCAAAAATGGGCATTGTTTGAAGTCTTATTAAAATCCTTTGTCAGAATATACTATTATTGTGTTTAACTTGAAGTTAATGATGTATTAAATAACTCCTTTTATCAAAGTTTTAAATGAAATAGCTTCAAAATCATTTGCTTTTTATATCATGTTTATTTTATTACAGCATGACAATTTAAAATATAAAAATATTAAATTCATGCACATTTGAAGCTAACTTGACTGACCTTTTATTCATTACTGCAAAAGGAGGATCCAAACAGCGTTTGCAGCCTGTCTCTCAGGCGGAGAGTTGCGACATGCGTAATTTACCCACAATTGATGTTTAAACATCCCCATTTCAAAGCATTTATTTAACAAAAGATGATTTATTTAACAATTTGTGATAACATAATATTCACTTCATAAAGACTGTAATCCCGTGTGATGCATAAATTAAATGCAAAAGCATATTGTCGGGGCTTTAAATGTCTCTCCTCCCAGGCGACACTCGCACTTTAAGCTTGCCCACTTTCTGTTTTCAAGCGCATTAGGTGGACGTAGCAAACTTACTGAATTTACTCGGCAACATATAGTAGGAATGTCTCTGTTGTGGTTGGGGCTGAAAGAGTGAGAATTAAAGATTACACAGATTTATAGCTTGCCTACGATCCATAAGTATTTATTCAGAGATTAATGTTAAAAGGTCATCTGTACGGAACATCGTTGTGTACGAAATATGGTTAGTCTACGTTATCTATTTAATTGACTGACCGATGTACTTTCATAGTCATTAATATCTGCTAATGTGTTTTTTTTTTTTTTTTCCCCCAATTTAGAATTAACAAATAATACTTTTCTGAACTTATACTTAAGGATTAAAGCCCGAATGTGAAAGTTAAGACAACTTACCTCAGTTTTTTCCCGCGTTAAAACAAGGTAATTGATCTGCACGTGGCGCAAGTGAAAGTTTTCTTAAAAAACAATGTTTACTTAAAACACTAGCTTAGTGTAGCTTTTACTTAAAACTAACTTGTATAGCTTTTAAAAAGTTTTCAGAAACTCCAAATTAACTTTCTTCAGTCTAACGTTAGAACAGTGGTTCTCAAAATGGGTGTCGCTTGATTTCCCAAAATCTTATGTTTTATTAAACTATTATAATTATTTTATCCGTAACCGCCAGAATATAAAAAGGTTTTTAACTTTTTTTATATATTTATTATACGTTTAATATTTAATAGTTGCATTTAAAAAATGCAAATAAAGTCATCAGCCTTTAATTTTTTTTTTCCATTGGATTGCAACCTCCAAGGATATCCTAGATTAACATCACAGCAGTACAATGTTTACCTTTTACACCTTTTATGGGTCTCGCATGCATTAAAAATAAAGGCCAAGACTGAACAAGGAGGACCATCTCCAAGTAGCTCCGTCTCTGAAATTTAACCAAGACTTGTCTTGTGCTATAAATATTTTGTTTTTCTTTTTCATTAAGTCAGATTAATATTAATAACTTGTTTTTTAAATATATTAAGTAAACAGAGTGATTATAAAAAAAAGACTTGCACTTTTGCTGACAATAAGCTTGTTTACATTGTTCCTATTGGTTGTGTGTGTGTGCACCATAGTGTGCAATGTGTATGCTTCTAATCACTTCCGAGCATAGAGGGGGTCTGAGTCACTGGTGTTTTAGGTGTCACGGGTTGAAAAGTTTGAGAGCTCCTGGTCTAGGAAGTGCTGCTTTTAATAATTTTGATATTTGGACCACAAACAAGACACTAAACACTTATTCAGTGTAAATCTGCTTGTACATTTATCCGAGTGTGTTCTGTGATGAAAACGCTATATAGGAAGTGCCGTCTGATGCGATAACTGACGATGGCAAAGCAAAATCTTTCTGAGACGCACTAATTATACAGATATCAGGCACACAATTCGTTTTAAAAACACATTCTGACCAGTCACCTTCTTTTTACAGGTGATCATCTGCATGTGAACAGATCCAAAGTCCTGAGGGTCGAAACCGCACAGGTGAGCTTGTGTTGCTGGAGAATAGCATGATCTCGGTTGCTCCCTCAAAGTACAAATTAAGCAAGCGTGTGGTTGTTTGGTGCTGTTTGTGTATGTGTAAATGAGAGACCGTGTGGTGCTGTGTGTCCCTGTGGTGCTGTGTGTCCCTGTGGTGCTGTGTGTCCCTGTGGTGCTGTGTGTCCCTGTGGTGCTGTGTGTCCCTGTGGTGCTGTGTGTCCCTGTGGTGCTGTGTGTCCCTGTGGTGCTGTGTGTCCCTGTGGTGCTGTGTGTCCCTGTGGTGCTGTGTGTCCCTGTGGTGCTGTGTGTCCCTGTGTGTTTATACAGACAGCTTGTTAAAGCCCCCCCAAAATAATAAAATCAAACATTGCGATTTTTATTCTGTGACATGCGTTGCGATATGAAAACAATTTCACTAGACTTGAATATCTGTTTTTGTAAAATGTATTTTAGATTTAGTACGAGTATACGTTCAATAAAGATACAAAAAAAAAAACCTGCTTTTATTTCCTTTTAGTCTTAATACCATTCAGGCATATAGTAATTGAATCAAATACTGCGTGGTCTTCACTCTATTCACCTTAATCTTCGCCGACGAGCAGGCGCTGCCATTTGAATCTTTTTGGCTGGAGACTTCCGGTCTCATTCACTTCCATTCATTTTTAGACATTAAAAACTGCTCGTTTCGCTGTTTGTTGCAAACTGATATTTCCTTATTATAATATCCTACTTGGTCTCTATAGTCATGCAAACATTTGTTTGTAGAGCAAGTAGTTTGACCGTTTTCTGCCGTTTATTATTCCGATTCAGTCGCCTATGGGAGAAATGACTAGGAAGTTCAAAGACAATCGCGAAAACGGCCACACTTCCGCATTTTAGAATAAGGTCAATAAACAGTTTGATGAAATTAATCATTGTTAAAGTTACAAACGATTCAATTTCTGCTTTGAATGCTTGTAAAATCCTCAGTCACATGCATCAAAATGGCAATATTATGTATTTTAATCCAGATTCGACATTGCAGTTCTTGCAACGTGACTAGTGAATGCTCACTGTGCGATATTAATGTGGAAACAATATATTGTTCAGCCGTAACTTGCAGTAAACGCATTCTACTGGACTGTTTTGCTTTTAATGACTGCAGAAGGCTTATTTTTATTTATTTTTTTAATGAAATGAACTGCTTTCAAGGACATTTCTAGTGAAGTATGAATGGGAAAGATCTTAGAATTTATCATGAATTAACACAATCCTATTCGTAGCAAGAACATTTCAACATTAATGAATGGCAAGAATATTTAATCTACATAATCTTTTTTTTTTTTTTTTTTTTTTGCCCACTGAGGAAAAATGTATTTCCACTTTGAGTGCCTTGGACTGATTTTTGCCTTATTTTGTTCAATCCTTTACACGAAGAGCACAGACAAATTGTTTAAGCTACCCATGATCACTTTTGTTTGGGTTTTAAAACTGAATAAAATCAATATGACAAAATGCAAAGTAGAAATCTGGAAGTTACAAATCAAGCTCCATGTGTGCAACATTTGTTTGATTGCAGAGGCATCATTTTTCACGTTTTTGCATTACACGCTCCGTGTGCGGGATGTGAAGCTGTGTGTTCTGTGATGAAAACGCTATATAGGAAGTGCCGTCTGATGCGATAACTGACGATGGCAAAGCAAAATCTTTCTGAGACGCACAGATCAAGCAAATATAAAGTGCATGACAGACTTTAGACCTCTGTTCTGACCAATCACATGCTCCTTCTCTCTAAAGGTGATCATCAGTTTGGATGCGCTCCAATGCAGAAGCCCTGAGGGTCCAGACTGCTTGGGTGTGTTCGTTGCTGGAGAAAATATGTGGGACGCCTTTAAAATGGTAATTTGAAATATATTTTTATAAAATAAATATTTATTTGGTGCACTTAGGGTGCTTTCACACCTACACTTGTTTCGGAACGTGTCTCGTTTGCCCAGTTAGCGCGGTTTGTTTGGCATATGTGAACGGGGCAATCGCGCGCTCTGTTCCGCGCCAAAGTAATCGCTCAGATCGCTTGAATGAGGTGGTCTCGGCTCGATTGAAACGAACCCTGGAGCGGTTCGATTGCAGTGAGAAAGTGATCCGATCCAAGCACGGTTATATCACAGTGTTTTATGGATATGTAATAGGCTTACGGCTATATGAAGAGACAATTATGATTAGGGTGGGAAGTTTCGCGAGTCTCCGGATGCCCGCAAACGAGTGATCTCCCGGTAATCTCGCGTCTCCCTCCCTACCGTGTCTCTCCTCAGACGCGTCGCACGCCCGGCGCGCGCACCCTGTCAATCACCACCAAACCACCACCTCTCCTGACAGCTGAGCGGGACGCTGCTAAAACTCTGACACTCTGACCAATTTAAGGAGTTTACTCGCACGTGACTTGTTTTAGCTCTTTTGGTCCAATTAGAAACTTTGCAGTGTGAAAGCGAACCGCTCCAAGAGCAAAGAGCAACAATGTAACAATTTTAATCTCTGTTTCGGAACAACTGAATCGATTCACTGGTGTGAAAGCACCCTAAAGCAACCATGACTAGTTTGGTGCCAGTAAAATCAAATTTATGGATTTTTGTTTAACCTTTTACATTTTCTAAAGGTGCTGTTTACCATTAGAAAATACACCCTTTACTATAGTGCGTAACGAGTGTTGCCCTTTGACTAAACCCTGATGAAATACTGCACCGTGAGGGTAGTTTCAAATCCAGCTCCAGCGTAACACCCCCAGTGTGCTGCATATAAAGCAGTGTGTGTGTGTGTGTGTGTGTGTGTTCTTTAATTACACTAAGCGACGTGCCATCTGATGCAGTGGCAAAATCATTCTGAGACACGAGGATTATACAAATATCGGGTCTGAATGTGTTTTTAAAGCACTGAATCTGATTATCTGCTATTTTCTCCACAGGTGAACACCCACATTCTGAAGCCACTGGGAATCTGCTTCTGTAACTGGTTCTGAAAGAGCTGACGTCTTCTGCTGGACTTGAACATTCAGATGTGCGTATATTTCACATGGAAAGGTTTCTTAAAGGGGTGTAATGTCAATGCTTGAGTCTTGTTCATTTTTAAGGGGACGGTTCACTTATTATTAGTAGCACTTTTTATTTGTTTACTAGTTCCAAAGCTAAGTCTTGTTGAATAAGTCTATCAGAGCACTGTAAACAGCACCCATTGACTTCAATTAGAACAAAAGTAAATGAATGTAATGGAAATCCATGGCTACCCACCCCCCCAATGTTGCTCAAGATATTTGTTCACCAGTGAAACCCTTTACAACCGCTTAAGTTTTTAATCTTAAATGGCTGTAAGGTCAAAGCTCGAGTCAATTTATTTAATACTAATTTGTATTGTCCTCTTACACTCCGCACAACAGTACATAGCTGTTATGGAACCGCAATCACGATGACTCGCAGCAACACCGCTGTACAATTCTTTATTTTCTTTTAACAACTCCATTTGTCCCAAACCTGTTTGAGTTTCTTCTGAACATTAATGAAGCTATTTTTAACGGAGCTGTTAAAACACTCATTGATTTCAATCACTTTCCCTCCTTTACTATTGATTTTAATGGCAGATTCTTCAGAATATCTTGTTTCGTTTTAGAAACTCTGTTTGCTATCACTTGGGCGTGAGTGAATTGGATCCATTTTCATTTTAGGTGAACTGTCCCTTTAAGTGTTAAGTGAGCATTCTGACCCTAGGTCAGTGTTTTTGCACCCTTTCTGTTGACTAAAGCCTGTGATGATAGAAGTTATCCCTGTCTGAAAACTGTGTGGACTTCTGGTAACCTGAGGCTTGCCTAATGTTTACCTGTAGGACACTGTTTTAGTTTTGGTCACTAAGCTTTGCCTTCCACTTTTTTTTTTTTTCCCCAGGAATGTGCTGTGATTTAATATTGGAGCTGCTCGACAGTGGATCGCTGCTTTCAGCAGGGATGTATTGCACCGAACAGAACTGAAATTTGCCAACTTTCACTGAATGGAATCAGTTTTAATTGAACTAGAGCTACACCAGCATTATACACCGCTCTCCTGCCTGACTGATATGCTGGAACACTCCGTCTGAAATGCTGTTATGGATATGGCTGTCTGATGCTGGAGTAAAGTATATTGTGATATGCTTTGCTAAACTGAGTATTTTTCAATAAATGCAGCTTCATTAAATGACTTGAATGGCTTTTCGTTTCCCTTTGGAAATCTTTATTTTAGGTTTTTTTTTTTTTTTTTTTTTTTTTTTTTTTTTTTTTTTTTTTGGCTGGACAAATCAAAAAATCCTAGGAAAATACAAAATGGCAAAAAAGCAAATGGGAATTTTTTTTTTTTTTTTTTTTTTTTTTCCCCCCCCGAAGTTTTTTTGTTTTCAAACCCCCCTTTCAAAAATTG